ATCTATGACCCTGTCTTACTGTGAGGCTCCACTAGCACAGAGAGAGGCATGGATTCATCGGCGGGACAGGGGATAGTCCTCACGGCGCGAGACAACACGGGGCGCGGGCGGGGAGGCAATCGTAACCCGGTCCCGGTCAGAGAGAATTCCACAATGTCGGGGAAAATTGAGACAGCTGCCTTTCCCACAGAGCCTATGTCAACTTTGTTTGTCAATAAGTAAAAGCTGGTGACCCTTCATTTTACCCATCCTATCTCGCTTCCACCTTCTGCCTAGTCTGCATGCCCACAAATATATTCCACATGCAAGAGAGAGAGAGAGAATTTGCTCACTGCTCTCAGAGAAGAGAGAGAGAACGAGAGAGAGAGAGAGATAGAGAGAGAGAATTTGCTCACTGCTCTCAGAGTAGTTGTGGTAGTACTGGTCCTCACCACCACCACCACCACCACCACCACCGACGTTGCTATAGTGATCGTGACTTGCAGCGTAGCCTCCTCCACTGGCCACACCCCCTTGCGTCCCAGTGGGTGGAGCTAGAAGCGGAGGCCCTCCTCGGCTAGTATAGCTGAAAATAAGAGAAAATAAGTGTATGGAGGATAAACACACACTGCCTTCGTTAATGATTTTAGGGACGTACTCACAGACTAATTGTAGGCGGGGTTTCGTTTACCTTTGGTCGTCATAGCTACCAGTAGCGCCACCCATTGCCCCACCCCCAGTAACTTGACTGCACGCGCACACACAGCACATATTATAGGGGTCAAATCATGTAATTGGGAATAAAAAACTATTTATTAAGTCCGTTATGTACAATGTACCTGTCTCCATAGCCGACTTGAGGCGCATGATCATATGACGCCATGTCTGTTACTCCCTGCATCCCTCCTCTCCCTCCTCCTCCTCCCCCCCCTACCTGAATATATAGGGGGAAATTCAATGGCCAGAGTGCACGGTTTGCTTGACAAAACAAGACCATGTTGACAAAAAATGGGGGTTTTGAGTAGCTAGGGACAACTGTAATGGTTACATATGACACACACAACATTACACTAATCCACGAGTTGATTTGCTCATAATATATATAGTCACATAAAGCAAGGACCTCCACTACCATAAGTTACAGTAGCTTTGATTCCAAATAGAGCTCACCTCTTCCTCCTCCTCCTCCACCTCTAATTCCCCCTCCTCCCCTCCCCCTTCCTCGTCCCCCACCCCTCCCTCTCGGGGAACCCCCACCCCTGCCACGAGGGTGACCGAAATTTCCGCCCCCTCTCCCTCCCCCTCGTCCCCCTCGGGGGGCCTTGCATGGAATTTGCATACATCTGCTGTTCCTCCGGCGACAGATATTTCATTCCCATTGGGTCCCCCACACCGTCTTCCTGTAATTAGAGGGAAATATTAAAATCACCACTCTTAATTAGAGAGAAATATCGAAATCATAGACATGCTATTGGAGATATCACACACAGCACAGACGAAATTGAGAAAATTAGCTATTTATCCCAATCACATCCTTTCAAAGAGAGATAATCACAAAAAAATACTGCAATATCAAAACCTTCAATTAGAGAGAAAAATCGAAAACTCACATTGGGTATGAGCATCTTCCTGACTTCAGCCACCCCTGCCATTAACTTGTACTCACTGAACGGACCGTTCACTTCTATCAGAACGTGAAGATCGTCGTTGAGGTGTGAGTGGGCGGGGTCACCGCTCTCTCGGAGCTCCTCCTCCCTCTTCTTGTCCCGCATGGACCCACGACCGAGGATCGTCATCTTGGTCTGGGTCTCTGCCTGGATTCTCTTGAGAGTCAGGCCTTTTGGGCCGAGGAGACGACCAACCAGATTAAACTGGAGGAAGAGAGGGAGCGAGCGAACATGAACGGCGGAATTATTAGTAAAAAGGTAATTGATTTGGTAAGCAGAACTGGCGATGCGGGATGAACCGAACGCCGGGTTAAGGTGCCCGAATCGACGCTCATCAGATCCCAGGAAAGGTGTTCAGGGGCTTACCCTTCATCTGCCTTCTAATTGACAGGGGCTTACCCTTAGTTGATATAATTGAGAGGGGCCTCTTACCCTTGTTGGTCTAATTGAGAGGGGCTTACTCTTCACCTGTCTTCTAATTGACAGGGGCTTACCCTTGCTTACCCTACTTGGTCTAATTGCAGGGGCTTACCCTTCGTTGGTCTTCGGGTGGAATGTAAATCTTCTCGGAGGATCGCAACATTCCCCCATCTCCCATTCCTCCGTACTGAGAACCGCTGGCCCCCAGTCCACGAGGACTCTGGAGCCTCTCTATCTCTGGAGAGAGGAGGGAGGGAGAGAGAGGAGGAGGAAGGGAGAGGAGGGAGGGAGGGAGGGAGAGAGAGATAGAGAAAAGGGGGGAAGAAGTAATAGGCTTTCACACGAAAAGAAGACCCAATTTCACAAAAACCTTCTCCCACCAAAATCGTAAATAATTGGGGTGAGCAGGAAAGCCATTACACGTGCACGTACCTTGATCCAGGAGTCTTGATGCGTGTTTGAAGCTGCCATCGAGTGCCTCCTTCTCAGCAATCACCTCCTACATCGCCATGGAAATGAACAGAAACTCCGCATTAGAAGCCTTAGCATTTTAAGTGTAGCTACGTGAGTTACACGAGATTTAGTAATCATGCACGAGTCCATTTGAAAACAAAGACAGACACCATTAAACAGTGACAAAGATTGATTAGTAAATAGTATATACCTGGAGTTCACTTGGTCCGCCATATCCTCCCCCGCCAGGTGTCTGTTGGACCTGGTCTGTCTTCACCGTGTTCCAATACTCCTGCACCTGAGTGTGTGTGTGTGTGTGTGGGGGGGGAGGAGGTGGACAGACAGGTAAGGCTACGTTCACAATATGTCACCCCTTCGCACAGCGCCACGAAGATAGATCTACGTATCATCGCGACATGGCAAAGCCAGCGGCAAGGTGCGACGGACGGGGCAATGCGACATATTGTGAACCCAGTACAATAGAGAGAAGGAGGGAGAGGGGAAGGCAGATGTATGAGACAAGTATATAGAGTGGAGAGAGTGATGCAAAAGAGCTGCGGGGATCGAAAATAGCAGGTGTGAGGTTGTGAAATGAATTGGAAGAACACAGGCTAGCTGTTCTAACTGACAAACTAGACACACACCGACGACACGTCTAGTAGACAACAAGCTATCAAAGGAGAAAGAGGGACAGAGGAGAGTACGGTTGGATAAGAAAGCCTACGAGGTACGTACGTACGCTACACACAGACCTTGCTCCCGAAGCTGGCAAGACCGCCAGAACCGCCGCCTCCCGACGCGTTCTGGTCCCCCGCCGTCAGACCGGACAATATCTGCTGCGTTGTCATGTCCATCTCTTTCCTCCTTCTCTATATACCACTGACCCACAACCAAAGCTTTAGGAGGCAGCTTGAGACGACACACACGAAGCCGGTCACGTGTACGATGTACATTGCGCATGCGCAAAACAGTTTATGCTGCGCTTTAATTAGGATTTTCGTCGCGGAGCGTATTTCTTCGAGAAAGAAGAAATGTCGGAGCCAGTGGTGGTAAAGAAGATCTGCTGTATCGGAGCTGGTTACGTGGGCGGTCCCACGTGCAGCGTCATTGCCTGCAAATGTCCGGATATTCAGGTGCGGGGTGAACTGACACGCCCTCTCTTCTAAAGCATCCCTCCTTCCCCAGTCTTATCTAAAATAGTGATTTATGGTAAAATGGGTAATTTTCTTGTTTATTCAAAGACTGGATGGTTGGTAAATGAAACACTACTTATAAGCTTATACATGAAATTATAGTTCATAGCATAATGTTACTCACCATAGGTAGATAGGTAGATAGATAGAGAGAGAAATAAAACCACCACCACCACCACCAACATACATACACAAGTATCTCATCGTCTCTCTGCGTCTCACAGGTGACAGTAGTGGACCTGAGCCAACCTCGCATCGATGCCTGGAACTCAGACAATCTCCCCATTTACGAACCCGGCCTTCAAGAAATCGTCGAAAAAGTCCGCGGGACAAACCTCTTCTTCACGACGGACACGGAGACTGCAATAATCGAGGCCGACCTCATCTTCATCTCGGTCAACACGCCGACCAAGACCTTCGGCGTCGGAAAGGGACGTGCGCCGGATCTGAAATTCGTGGAGTCTGCCGCGAGAAAGATCGCCGAGATTGCCAAGCAACCAAAGATAGTCGTGGAAAAGAGCACCGTCCCCGTGAAGGCTGCCGACAGTATAAAGAAGATATTCTCTTACTGCGCGCCTCATGTGCCTTTTCAGGTATCGTTGACTATTGGTATATAAAGACACCGTTGAAAAATGACTAATGGAATTATGGAGAATGTCGATCCTTGAGAAATATAGTATAGAGGCATAAGTTATCTGTTTTTACGTGCGACATAATTATTTGCTTGATTTGTGTTTCTCCATCTTATGTAAGGTTTTGTCAAATCCTGAGTTTCTGGCCGAAGGGACGGCAATCAAGGATCTCCTGCATCCAGACCGCGTTCTGATTGGTGGAGAGGAGAGCGAGGGAGGGAGGGTTGCCGTGGACGCACTGAGTCAGGTGAGCGAGTCAGAGAGAGAGAGAGACAGAGAGAAGAGAAAATGAAGAAGAAAGAGGAGTCCTTTGATTATTTTGAGATGGTTCATCTTTACCCCTATCTGGCTTGAAACTTTGGCCTTTCTCCTATCTCGCTCTCGTCACTCTCTCTGCCTCACATGGCTTGCTCCAAACTGCTGCCCTTCCCCTATCTTCATCTAAACTTCTTTGTTCATTCTTCCTCACTGAAAACGTTCGTCTTCCCCCCCCATCTCGCTCCAAACCTTCACCACTCTCATCCCTCCCATGTGACTGCAGGTGTACCAGCGCTGGGTCCCGGCTGAGAGGATCATCACCACCAACACTTGGTCCTCCGAGCTATCAAAACTGGCCGCCAACGCATTCCTCGCCCAGCGGATATCCAGCATCAACGCAATCAGCGCGGTGTGCGAGGCCACGGGGGCTGATGTGGAGGAGGTTGCTCATGCCATCGGACTGGACTCAAGGATTGGAAACAAATTTCTGAAGGTTAGGCTGTAATTATTGCATCACCGTAAATGTTTAACTTACGTGCAGGCGAGTGTTGGATTTGGTGGCAGCTGTTTCCAGAAAGACGTGCTGAATCTGGTCTATCTCTGTGAGGCTCTGAACCTCCCTCAGGTCGCCGACTACTGGCATCAGGTACATATATTATGATGATTAGGTGGGAAATATTTTTTAAGTGGGGATCGATTTTTTTGAGATAAGGTTGTGTGTGTGTGTTAGAGGCACATCTGCCAAAAAAGGATTGGTGACTGAGTATTTGAGGGAGCAATAAAATTGATAGAGGAAATTGTCTGGTTCTTGCTGATAATTCAACTTTGACACACACGACATCTTTAGTTTGACCGCAGAGATCTCCCTCCCCCTCTCCCCTCTCCTCCGCCTCTTTCCTCCAGGTAATAGCAATGAACGACTTCCAACGCAGCAGGTTTGCAAAGCTAATAGTCGACAAACTGTTCCAGACGGTGACGGGGAAGAGGATCGCCATATTTGGGTTTGCATTCAAGAAGAACACTGGAGACACGCGAGAGTCGTCCAGTATCTACATCAGCAAACACCTCATGGACGAGGAGGCCAAGGTCATCATATATGACCCTCAGGTCAGGGGCTGTATATATACTAGGACTTGTGGAGCTTTAGTGTCTTGGGTGGGGAATCTTTTAGGGAATCTTTTAGGGAAAGTTTTGGGGGAAGTTTTGATCTGTGCTTAATACACAACACCCTTTAATGTGGAGGACATTGCTTCCATATATTATACTGCTGTATTTAATGTGTAGCGAACAGTGACACATGACTCACTACTTCAGTACACAACCCATCCTTAAATATTTGGTATAAAATACAGAACCTGTGTGATATGTCCTTGAAAATCTTTGCTCTTTCCCCCTCCCTCTCCTCTCTCTCTCTTTCCCCCTCTCTCTTTTCCCTCTCTCTCTCTGTCTTTCCCCCTCTCTCTCCTCTCTCGTCTTTCCCCCTCTCTCTCTGTCTTTCCCCCTCTCTCTCCTCTCTCTGTCTTTCCCCCTCTCTCTCCTCTCTCTGTCTTTCCCCCTCTCTCTCTGTCTTTCCCCCTCCCTCTCCTCTCTGTCTTTCCCCCTCCCTCTCCTCTCTCTCTGTCTTTCCCCCTCTCTCTCCTCTCTCTGTCTTTCCCCCTCTCTCTCTGTCTTTCCCCCTCTCTCTCCTCTCTCTGTCTTTCCCCCTCTCTCTCTGTCTTTCCCCCTCTCTCTCTGTCTTTCCCCCTCTCTCTCCTCTCTCTGTCTTCCCCCTCTCTCCTCTCTCTGTCTTTCCCCCTCACGCAGGTCACCAAGGAACAGATAAAGATGGACCTCACCGACCCCTCCATCATGCCAACCCCCGATCGCTACGACAAACTGGTCACCATAGCAACTGACCCGTACTCTGCCCTCACGGGAGCGCATGCCATGGTGATATGCACCGAGTGGGATGAGTTCACGCGACTGGACTACCACCGGGTGTACGAGCTGATGGAGAAACCGGCGTTCGTCTTCGACGGACGACTCATTCTCGACCACAAGAAACTGCTGGAGATTGGGTTCCAGGTTGCCGCCGTTGGGAAGGTCGTCACGGCAACCACCGAGACCACACCCACCCAGAACTCGCACTAATAATTATGAACTCCTGCAAATGTGAATGCAACAGTTTATCATACAACAGTGGTACATGGTCACACGAGCAGCGATCAATGCGCGTGTGGGGTCACAGATGAGAGATCCTCGTAACAATGTCTGGGAATGACGTAATCTCTTCAGAGCTATAGTCAGATAGGGTCTTGAACACAGGACAGGGTCCCGGTAGCTGGTGGGTGATGTTGAGGGCGTGGCTGTGGGCGGAGTCTGGGTAGAGATGGAGTCGCCTCATTCTGTGTTTCCTCTGGAGGTTCTTGGGCAGCATTCCATTTATTGCCCGCCTCAGTATCTGGTGGATGAAGACAAGAGAAGAGAGAGCGAAAAAAGTATAAAAGTAGAGTTTAGGTATATAACTATTGTCTAATGGTAGAGCTAAACAGGAGAAGTTCATACAAGAAAATGCAGCTAAACCACTGAATAAAGGATACCTTGGGAACATCCATTTATTCAGAATTTTCCTTAATAACTACACTTGGAGCAGAACCAAGTATCCTTGTTATTACGGAGGTATATTCGAATTTTCTTTCTACTGTGTCAAGTACATGTATAATTATAGTCACAGACCATTGTTGGGTTTTTCTGGTGAAGTTGCTTGGCAACAATCTCCTTCAGACCTCCAGGATACCCAGTGTGGTGCCTGTAGAGCTTCTTATCCCATTTAGAGCCCGTCAACACCGCATGGCCTGTGTTGATGACCACCACGTGATCTCCCGTGTCCACTGGGGGCAAGTGGAGGAGGAGGAGGGGGGGAGAGAGAACAGAAGAAATGTAAAACGTAAGAAAAAGAAACGTAATTACTACGAAGCAGGAAGTAAGGATGAGAAAACGGTTGAGGGTGGAGAGGAAAAAATGGAGCGGGGAGAAGAAAAGGGCAGGGAGAGAAGAAAGAACAAGTGAGTGTCTAGTTTGTAATAACTAACGAATGTAAAAGAGTTGGAGCAATTCACAGAGTGTTGAGATAGGAAATGGAGTATGAAGAGAGGGAAACAGAGAGAGAGATCTGGGATAAAAGGGGAACATAGCTAGAGAAGAGAAAATGGAGATGACACGAGAGAGGGTTGCTTGCTGACCAGATGGATGGTAGATGGGTTTGTTTTTGCCCTGGAGGAGAAGAGCTACCATGGACGCCAGTCTACCCACCACCTGATGTCTGGCATCGATTAGATACCACAGTCTGGTGTGCGTACCTATACTCTAAGGGGGGAGAATTGAGCACCTATTAGCAATGGGCAGGTTCACCGACTGAATTCTACTAGAAATCGTGTTTAGGGACTGTGAAGAAGAAGCAGGCACAGTGTAAAGATATGGCAACGGTACATGCAACTTACGTGGCTCAGTTTACTCGCCATTGACCGCCGTCGGCTTGTGCTTGCTGCTGCGGGTCTTCTGCCCTCACGTGTGTAAGGGTGAAAGGTCGTCGTGCGTATTACGTAGCAGCGTAATTATGAGCATGCAGGTTTTCTATCGGAAGTGAATTTATTATAAAAAGGCGGGTGGGGCTCGGCGCCTGCAATGCAACAAACTCGTGTGTTTTGACAGTTCGCGCGAGATGTCAGAGAGCAAGCCTCAGGTGGGAGATCTAGCCGAAGAGTTGGACCAGCTCACGTGGTCTGAAACGGCTCGGCTGAGTGCCCAGCTCGGAATGAAATCTTCCGTTCTGCGGGAGATCCGCGAAAGCAAACAGCGCGACGACATAAAACTCTTGAAAACCATGGAACTGTGGCTCAAATCGGACCAGAACGCCTCCTGGAAGAGGGTGGTAAGAGCTCTCAACGCCATACGAAAGAACGTTCTGGCGCAGGAGATGGAGCGTAGGTACTGCAGACCCGCACCGGCGAGTCGCTCCGCAGACTCCGCACTCCACGCCGTCGGCGTCCGGTCGTTCAGTGGTTCAAGACCTGTCCCCAACCCTGAAGCTGCTGCTCCGTCCATTGCCCGGGCTTCTGCAGGTATGGATAGATCTTCAACACCGTCTCAGTTCTCAAATCTAGCTCTCATCCATCCATGTGTTTGCACGGCTGTGTTTATCGTTATTAGAGGGGGTGTTGTAGGTAAATGTTTTGGCTAGTGTGCTACAATGTTTCGTGCAATCAATAAAGTTAAACCCCATATTATCCAGACACCAATAAAGGGATGTATTAATTTAGAGAGGGCTTAATTCTATCTACACATCATATTATCAACAGTGGCAAAATAGAAATGTTTGGTAAGATCGTAAGTTGTAAAGAGAGTTAGTTATTGTATGGTAGAGGGAGAGTCCGAGGGAGAGTCCGAGGGAGAGTCCAAGGGAAACTACCTCTGGAAACAATTAAGGAAATGTGTCCATATTTGACCAGAAACCATGTTAACTTCCTATTGGTATTGATTTACTCCCATGACGTAGATGATACAATAGTGGAAGCTCTATTATCTACACTAGATGATACAATAGTGGAAGCTCTATTATCTACACTAGCAGCACGGTTATTTCCGGCTCTCCTCTGTCCACTCTTTCTCTGTGGCTGGTGTTGTGTTTATTTTGCATGGTGACCTCATTGCTCAATCTTAACCACTTGTAGCTATCTGCAGTGATTCTGTTTTAGTGAAATCATAGATTTTAGCCTAAAATGGAAACAGGCTAGTGACGTAGCTGCATGTGAGGTAGTGAGATACTTGTGGGGCTGCCCTGGGGAAACTACCGCTCCATATATGAATAAGGAAATGGTCCATATTTGACCATGACCATAACAGCTCAGTAGTAAATAGTTTCCTGTTGGGCATTGATTTTACTCTATGATGTCATAGTTCCGTTGTTATTTACAAAATGCTAGAGTTACGTAGGTATGTAGCTGTCCAGATGCTTAGGGTCTTTCCCAGGGAAATGCCCGAAATGTGTCCATTTCATCACTTGTAGCTCTCCAGTAAATGATCAGTAGTAACAGTGAATGATCTCATGACCTATTGACGTTCTCTTTCTCTTCCTCCTTCAGCTCAATCACTGGAGGCAGTCATGTGCACCTCTGGACCTACAGCAGCTACAGCAGCTAGAACTCCCACGATCCCTACCCACTTCCCACGAAGAAGAACAAAGCCTTTGGCACGTAGCTAACTGCAGAGCAAGAACTAAACCAGTTCTAGTCCATTTGATTACCAGTCACGGCACCTGAGTTCCACTCCCGACAAAGTCGCTCTCCCTCTTGGCTGTGCTAAGCTACTGTTCTTCAATCTCTAAGCCATCGTCGTCATTTCTCCTCTTCCCCTCCCTCCTCGATGCCTCGCGGAAATCAAGTTTACTCTGCAATTCCACTGGATTCCTCCGACCAGCGGCTCAACCTGAGGCCCCAGCCGTCTTCCCAAGAGTTCCCAGACAGATCTGAACTCGAAAACTGATGCCATTTCCGACACTTTGTGGTGACATAATCGAGGGAACCGTAATATTCCTTTATTCTTTATAGCGTTGTATTTTGTACAGTGCTGGTGGTGTAAATAATAATTATAGGTTATACTGCGCGCCAATGGAAATATGCGATTTAGACGGTACGAGGGGTCCTGAGCTGTAGCTGTCTATCACAACGGAGGAATATATATGGACACTGATGTTCTCAGTCTGAAATCGTTCGAAACTTCCTCTTCCAGCATCAAATGGTCGCTAGTGAAGAGTGTAACTCCCACGTGGGCACAGCAGTGATGATGTCACAGAAGCACAGCTGTGTGATGTGCAGATTTGCACATTTGAGCTGCGAGATGTTTAATGGTGGCTGGGCCACTCACGCTGTTCAAGCTCTCACCGTCTTTATGAAGAATCTTGACAAGGAAAAGGAGGGTGTGTTAGTGCTGCCATTGAAAAAAGGATGCCTCCCTTTGTGTTGGGACCGCCCTGGAGTAGAGCGGCTCTACAGACGCTACTAAGGGCTCCGACAGCTCAGGGCCCCCGCGGCTCTCTAATTCGCATATAATTATAGTAACCTATTATTAATTTTAGAGCTGGGTAATTTAAATCGCGCAATCTGATTGGTCCGTGCGCGGACTCTAATTCGAGTAGATAAAAAATTTCCGGACTCTTTCTCCGGATCGGACTCTAAATTTGGCGCATGCGCAATGGCTCACTTGGCGGAGTCACCCCAACGGTCTGCGAATCAAAGGTACGTAGAGGCGTCGACGTCCTCCCTGGGCCTCTCGCTCGACTTCCCAGCGAGAAAGCACCGCTCGTTCGCGGTTTCAGATGCACCGAATTTGAATTGCGCGCACGCGTTGCCATAGCTCTAAACAAGTTAGACGCCTCGTCCATGGAAACTACGTGCATTAGAGCGCCTTGGGGGCCCTTAGTAGCATCCTCGAACGCCGACAGCCCAGGGCCCCCGCGGCTCTCTAATGCTGGACTCGGCATCTATATTTAGACGTCGACAGATTCAAATTGCAAAATTCTATAGTTGCAGACCAATCAGATTGTAGGACAGCGCCGAAGAATACGCGCGGTTACATCATACTGAAAGGAGAGCGCTAAATGCTTGAGAGAATTCATTGTGGACTGGAGTGCCAGCCATCGTGAAAGACCAGGGTTAGTATAATGTACCGCTGGTAACGGAGCTAAGAGCGTTCCCCGGACCCACACACTAATCACACACCACATGGGTATATACGGGTTGTAACCACCACATTCCAGGGGTACGGGGGGGGGGTTCATGCTGCGGTTTGTTATTATGCCTCTCGTTTTCTCAGCCCACCGTGATGGCAGCCGTGACTAGGACCCCGAGGCCACGGCCTACGGTGATTGCTCTGTCTGTTGTGGCAGCGGTATTGCTTCTGTCTTGGTGGCTCTTCTATAGATCACGTGAGTATTTCCCTCTATTATTATGGTGGTTGAATCCAGACTTCTAATCCTCTGCAGCTACAACAACAAACACGGCTAATGGTAAGTTGATTTGATCATAGACCTTTTTCAAATGGGTGTGGCACTCGATTGTGTAAATCTAGTGCCACGCCCATTTGAAAAAGGTCTATAAAGGACACTAGGTGAGTATTTGGTGAGTATTTCCCTCTATTATGGTGGTTGAATCCAATTGCAGGTACAACAAGAAGCACGACAAATGGTAAGTTGATTTGATCATAGCTCGTAGCTAGAAATAATCAAACTCCCTGAAAAAGGGATCCTCTGAATGATGGACACCTCGCTATATATAGACCCTTTTCAAATGGGCGTGGCACTCGATTGTGTAAATCTAGTGCCACACCCATTTGAAAAAGGTCTATAAAGGACACTAGGTGAGTATTTGGTGAGTATTTCCCTCTATTATGGTGGTTGAATCCAATTGCAGGTACAACAAGAAGCACGACAAATGGTAAGTTGATTTGATCATAGCTCGTAGCTAGAGATAATCAAACTCCCTGAAAAAGGGACCCTCTGAATGTTGGACACCTCGCTAATTATATAGACCTTTTTCAAATGGGCGTGGCACTCGATTGTGCCACGCCCATTTGATAAATAAAGGACACTGGGTGCTCTCCCATACTTACAGAGGTATATACACTTCTGAATAAAGTATACAGATATCTCAGATGCTCATCATTATTCATTTCAAGATTGCGACAATTGGATGAAATCGTGCAAGGAGCAATGTATCCAGAAAACCAGCACCCCGATACCCAAACACATCCACTTTGTGTCACTCAATCGTCCGTTTTCGTTCATGGAGTGGCTGGCAGTAGTCAGTGCGAGGAAATTCATAAAACCGGACAAGATCACGATATATACTGACGGACAACAAGACAGTTGTTGGTGGCGGCGTATAGCGCCATACATTGATCATCAGATCATTCTCTCTATGCCGGGGACTAGCGTGTTGAATGGCGTGAAAATCGAAATATTATCGCATATGTCCGACTTTCTGCGCTTTTTAATCCTCTACCACAACGGAGGAATATATATGGACACTGATGTTCTCATTCTGAAATCGTTTGACCCCCTCCTCCAGCATCAAATGGTCGCTAGTGAAGAGTGTGGATCCCTTGTGGGCACAGCAGTGATGAGTGTCACAGAAGCACAGCTGTGTGATGTGCAGATTTGCACATTTGAGCTGCGAGATGTTTAATGGTGGCTGGGCCACTCACGCTGTTCATGCTCTCACCGTCTTTATGAAGAATCTTGACAAGGAAAAGGAGGGTGTGTTAGTGCTGCCATTGAAAAAAGGATGCCTCCCTTTGTGTTGGGACGGCCCTGGAGTAGAGCGGCTCTACAGAACCGACGCCAAGGATCTGAGAGACTACAACATATCTGAGCTATATTCCGTCCACCTGTACCGCCACTTCCGTACTGATCTCCTCCTCAAAACAGTCAACAACTATAAATGGATACAGACTAGTAAATCACTAGCAGCCAATGCTGTTAGAGGAACTCTACCTCGCAATTTCTCCATAGAGCATTTGGATGAGAATGCATGCATAGCACTTCCTGAGTATTAATTAACCGTTTGTACGCCAATGGTATCTTCTTAAAAGAAGAATTTTTTATGACACATCACTGCTAGCTGTCATTCTTTGCGCATGCGTTAAATTATTATATATACGCGCTCTAAGTTTTCTAAGTTCGGCGCTTAAGCCCTAAGGAAGAAAAGCCAGCACCGGGAGAGACATGTCGGAGGCCAAGCCGCAGCTAGGGGACCTTGATCTTGGGCTATACGAGCTCACGTGGTCCGAAGTGATCAGTATGTCCGTTCAGCTGGGTATGGACTTCGCCGTGCTGCGGAAGATCGACGAGTCGACGAACCCAAACATCCGTGTACTGACGGCCATGGATTCCTGGCTCAAATCTGACCCCAACGCCTCCTGGAATAAAGTCGTGAGAGCCCTGAAAGCCATCAAGAAGGACGTTTTGGCACAGCGGCTGGAGAATACGTACGACATGACGGCGCCCGCTGGTCCTTCCGCGGCGGTTACCGATGATGGTGCCCCCGGCTCGTTCAGTCCACCACGACCCCCCGGTACCCAACACTCTTCCGTTAGTACTTCTGCCACTCCTCAGGCCTCTGCAGGTATATACGGGGTCTACAATAGCTACCTCTCTTACCTTTTTGTTATCTCCTCTCTCTCTCCTTGCAGATCAGGGACTGCTGACGGTAATGTACGAGGCGCTGATTCCGGCACAGAACAGCTCCCGTTTCCTGGGCCTCAAACTGGGGCTCCCTCCACACGCTGTCGAGGCCATTCACTCCCAGCACCGCAACCCAAAGGATTGCCTTCTCCAGGTGCTCACGGAGTTTCTGAAGCAAGTCGACCCTGACGAGGCTTGGTCCACCGTCGTGGCTGCTCTCAGAAGTCGCGCTGTAAATCTCCCTCGTCTAGCAATCGAAATTGAAGCCCAGTACTGCACCTCTCCTTCCTCACATCCCTCCTCTTCTCCATCTTCACTGTCTTCCCTGCTGCTGACGTCTCAAGGAGATCAAACGTGCTCTGCATCGAGACCGACCATCACACAAGTAGAACCGGCATCTCCCACGGGTCCTGCGCGATCAGATACTCCGACATTACCAAAACTGATGCGATTTCCGAAAAAGTCCGGCGGGCACTTTAATATCATCACGTGCATTGGACCCAATCATCGCATGTTTGGCATATTTCTCCTGGACGACGAGAGGGGGGAAATAACTGACGCCATGTTCCAGTCGGAACTGGGAAGACCTGATGCAATCCTTCAGAAGATATTCTCCAGATGGTTGCAGGGTACGGGAAGGGCTCCGCGCTCATGGGAGACACTGGTTACGGTTCTCGAAGAAATGGGAGTCGTTGGCGAGCTAGCATCCACTGTTAGAGAAAACCTCAGATAACCTCCTTCATCAAACCTCCTTTGTGCATGCGACTGCCATGTTTTGTACAGTTTTAAAGCAACTACTCCTTAATCACTAAGTACGGTAGTACTTAGTATATAGGGATGGTATTATCTCCTGTATTATGTGTGGGTATTATATATAATTATGATCACTGTAGTTTTAAAGAAAAGGTTTTGTACATATTATTATACTGTAGAAAAGATAGGGAACAAATTGCTGGATAAAAAACATCAACAAGTGATAAAATGGGATCAAAACAAGTTTCATAATTCTGTCAAATGAGATTGCTCCTCTGGATACTGATCTCTCGTTCCTGGGTGGGTGTGGTTTCGATTCTTCCCCGCCGATGACCTTCTGACCTCTGAGGAATCATTCGCCACAGGGAGGAGGTGGTGGGGAGGTTTGACGTAACCATGGCGATCGCGGTGCGGTGGGTGCTCTCCATTTGGAATCCCTGGGTGGTCTAATCCGTTGACTTCGTGGGTGTAATAGTCCAGACTCGGGGGGTTGTTAGCAGGATTGGCCGAAATACTCCGACGATGATGTCGTCTCTTGGATTTGGGGAATTCCCCAAGGTTCTCGACCGGCCTCCCAATCACTCTAGAGTGGATGGGAGAAATGACCTTTGCCCCAGCTGGGTCCGGAAGTGGAGAAATAACTGCACTCTGACGAGGTGAAACGGCGCGACTTCCGTGCGGCGATACCGTCGTACTTCCAAATGGCGATGTTCCCGTACTTCCATAGGGGGAGACCCTCCTATTAGCATACCCTGATCCAGCCCTACTCCCGTATGGCGAAATCCTTGTTCCGTCGTGCCCCCAGGCCTCGCCTCCTTTCCCTCCCCCTCGCCCACCACTGAACAGCTCTGATTTTATGTCGACACTAGTAATAGATCCCTTCGCTCCTCCGTCTAACCCTCCACTCACTGATATATCCTGCACAGAGTTGTAGGGCGAGGTGATTGGTTGGCCCATCTGCATAAGAGCCTGTATATCGCGACTCCTTCTAGGAAGAGAGCCGACTCGGTAGTTTGCCCAGCTGGCGTGCGGCTGAGTGTGGGTGTGGTCAACACGAGGACCCACCTGACCTCTGTGACCTCTCGCATCGCCGTCAAGTCGTCCAACAAGTGGGGGAGTTGCGTAATCCTGCCCCCCTCCTCTCATATCGAGATTTGTATCAACTGAGGCAGATGTTCTTTTGTCTAGTGCCCCACCGGTCGAAATTGGTCTAACAGGACGCAGCAACCTCTCTCCATAGCTCGGTTTGTTCCTCTTGAGCTTTTTGGTCGAAGACAAAGCCCCGCCCATTTGACTGAGTGGGGATATCAAATGTGTCGGGTTGCCATGGTTACTGCTCCCACCTTCGGTAAACGTGTGATGTCGCGAAAGAGAAGAAGTGTTGAGCGGTTTTATGTGGGGTGCCCCTTCGTTTTCTTCTCGTGAGAGCTGATATTTCTGTACGAGAGACGGTCTCCAGGGGAGAGGGAGAGGATTTGGTTCCGACTCCGCCCTGGAATGTGGACGACCGGTGTGATGATGGAAGTGGTGGGCGGAGTTTTGGGGAGGAAGTGGGTGTGGCTGGTAGGGAGCCTCGCTGGGCGTGGGAGGTAGCTTCCGCCCTCCCTTTCCACTGGGCGGAGGGTGAGACTGCAGAGATAGGGAAATACGACAGAATATTCATACGTAAGTTATCACTGAAACCAGAGCTGACAAATGAGAGAGAAGAGGTCGGAGCTCACTGGTGGGAGAGGTTGGCTGAGACCGGGGGTCTTCTCGTGAGGATAGCTGGGCACGATCTGAGCTCCTCCAATTGACATCCTCCTCAGTGGAGGCTGAACTGGACCCAGGGACTGAGGCTGTTGCTGTGGCGATGTGATGTTGTCTCGATGCCGCCTCTTCTCATGTCTGGGCAGAGGCAGTGTGGAGGAGGGGTAGCTGCTTCGTGGGTCTCCAGCCTGTGACGTAATATGGATTACATCACTATACATGCTGCTTCGTGGGTCTCCAGCCTGTGACATAATATGGATTACATCACTATACATGCTGCTTCGTGGGTCTCCAGCCTGTGACATAATATGGATTACATCACTATACATGCTGCTTCGTGGGTCTCCAGCCTGTGACATAATATGGATTACATCACTATACATGCTGCTTCGTGGGTCTCCAGCCTGTGACGTAATATGGATTACATCACTATACATGCAAGAAATGTGTCTTCATAGATTGGTTTTTAGTTTTTTGCATACCTACTGAGAGGTTTTTAGCACACAAAACACAATAATTTGTGCCCAAGACTACAGATGTCTAGTCTAAGGTGCTAATGTGGTGGTGGAAATAATGTAGAATAGTTGGGAAATCAAGGAATATATATAATAGCAGCAGACCAAGAGAAGGTACTGTAGACGTTTGAAACAGGCACACACAAGAATTGCTGATGGGACTTGCTTCTCTGTAAATAGCTACTCAGCCAACGAGTGTTTGCCACTCACAATGCTGTGCCTGTGGCCTGCTCGTGAGTGTGTTCCCCCGGCAACGGCAGCAGTGAGGGCCTGGGCCACCTCAGGGGGTGTGGTCTCGGGCTGGAGGGTGGGGTCCTGGGAGAGTCTGAAGTGCTCCATGGTCCCCTGGTAGTGGGCCGCGTCCACCAGCGCCTCCTCAGGTCCCGCTGACAACAGTCTGGGGAGATTAAGATTAACAATAATGGAGGAGTATACGAAAACGGCATATGAAGAGTACAGAACTTCTACTGCAGTGGGTACAAGAGCAAGAGAAGTGGGCAGCTACCAGGCCCTTTCTGGGCTCCACAAACCTCTGCATAACAACTCTTCCATCGGGCTGGTCGATGAGGAGATTGTAGATGGAGGCCATCCAGTCGCAGCGATCTCTCCTCACGGCCTCCTTGATCTCTGACTGACTCACCTCCAGAAATGACGACATTAGCTCCATCACCTGGTGAGGAGGAATTGCTGTAAAACAAAAGAGACTGCTGTGTCAATGTGTCACTAAGGTAACCCAAGCCCAATAAATAAAGTTTAGATGCCAGCCATTCGTGAATGCTTTCCTTAGAGGCAGCCAATAAACCAGTCTCATCATTCACGATACTATATTCACTCCCCAAGGTCACTAAGTAAAATCCACACGCCGATAAACATAGGCTAGACCCCACAACACAGTGAGCAATAATTCCCATTGAGCCCCTTGTGACTATCTGCACGCAACATGACACCCTGCGGCTGCGTGTGTCCACCTCACGTTTGAAACGCTACAGAGAAATCTACACGGCTGGCTGCAAGAACATGCATGGTCAGCTAGTAGCTACTATCTGCATGCCAGACTGACACACCCCCAACACAGGGATCTGGATAGCAGCCACGCTGAACCAACAAATCTTGCCAGATCTGGCCTTGAAATGCGCAGATGAAGCAGCTAAGTAGCTATGGTAGAAATAGTGAGTAGGTTTTAGTTAGTGTGGCACATTATGAGCTACTAGGTTTTGTAAAATGAGAGATCAGGAACCTCGTACTGACAAAATCTGATTGGTCGATCCAAATGAGCGAGATTATCCACTCGGGACTGTGTGTTTATCTAGAGACTCACAGATTTCTGGGTGGCCTGGTCAGGGAGTGTGTACTTGTATGGATGAAGAGGATGAGCTCCATCTTTAGTGATCCATGGATGGTTCATCACCTCCATCAGCTTGATCCTCTCCTGTGACTTGGGCTGTAGAAGCTTCCCTGAATAGAACGGTAGGGATGGGGAAGTTGGAATAATGAGAAATTTTGGAGGTATTATAGAAAGTTTATTCTTGTATATAAGACATCTTAATTTGTTATGTTGTCAGCACCTATTGTTGTCTAGATACAAAGTAAAATGGGCCTTTTCCCATGGCAGGCCACATATATATGGAACATTTTGATAAATCAAGACGACTAGATGCAGTTCATTATCATTCTTGGTAATGGAGATTTGATCAATACCAGACGACTAAATTCATATTACTAGATAGGCCCACTTCAATTTATAACCAAACTGACCAATCAGATCCTTTCCCTCGGGTGTCACGTGACTCATGTCTTTCTCCCTGCTCTCGGTCAAGCCGGCCTGGATCTGTTCTAGCAGTTTCTGTCTCTTCTTGGAGCCCTGACGAGGCGATCTGAACGGGAGCTTCCCCACCAGCATGGCATACATGTTGACTCCACTGCGACGGGGAAGAGGAAGGGAAAAATGGCTCAAATGAGTCATCAGTGAGTGAATGTGGGACTAAAAGCATGATGATAATTTGATGACAAGTTCCAGTCAGTAGCATTATTATGACAGATGAAAAGAGAATAAGGGACCTCTAAATTTCACCTAATTGTAGACTCTCTAAAAACGAAAAATTAATAACAAAAGAGAGAAGTTTACAACGACATTTATCATAATCCCAACGAAGTTTTCTAATAGGAAGACCTTGTAAAAGTTGTTACAGTGGTTTTACTCTACTGCTACACTTCATCTTACAGACTCCAGACGTCGACCTCTGGACCGTACTCTCTGCCGGGGATGAACAGCTCTGGGGCCGCGTACTCCGGGCTCCCGCAGTGCGTCTGGAGGAGGCTCCCCGGGGCCTGCGCGTTACTCAGTCCAAAATCTGGGGGAAAATGATATGTTGGAGACTTTCACAGAAGAAATCTTTGAAGATTTTGTAGTTTCCTAGCCAACAGTGAAAGGTCTATCTGCAATGAGCTCCAGCAACACCACCTGCACACTAAAGTGTTTGTATGTGTGTGGTGGGTGACTCACTCACCAACTATCTTGACCTGTCTTCATCTTTCTGTCCAACATAATGTTCTCCATCTTCAAGTCCCTGCAGCAGATAGTGAAATACTCAGTGCAACCTCCAAAGAAACACTCTCTGAATAAAGAACACTAGTTCTGTCCCACACTGCTTCACTTTCGAATGGAGGAAATATTTTCGATGGAACCAAGGTGATCCTTATTCATAGCCAGACCCACTACCGTAATACCCACTCCCTATGTAGCTCTCTTTAATTAGAATTTCGCAGTGTGTGGCAGCTAACTTAATTGTCTGGCTGCTTCGTTAATCATAGTCCAGTAAGTGTAGTCACACGGGTTGGCAAAGTGCGAGAGTGTGTGAGTCTCTGTGAATTACATTGAAGAGAGAGAGAGGCAACCACACACACACACACACACTCCCAATGCATTCAACTCTTTTCGGTGAGCAATTTACGAACTAGAGAACTCCAGCGTGAAAATGTACATTATATAATATAGCACCATGACTTCATCTTCCACTACATCTATAATTATACCAACATCATTATGTACTTTGATCTACCAACTCATAATGCCTGTATAAATCCTCATAGTAGCTAGGTATAAATGAAGAGGCTAACAGGACAGAGAAAGACGTGTGATTGTTGTACCTGTGAACAATTCCAGCAGAGTGGAGATGATGAAGAGCAGACACCAGTTGTCTGATGAATGGTCGTGTGGTCGCCTCTGAAAGTCTCTTCTCCTTGAAGTCGTTTCTGACGTGAGACAGCAGCTCTCCTCCCTCCGCCACCTCCATCACCAGACAGTAGAGGTTGCTGGTCTTCATGGTCTCGTACAATCTGATGATGTTTGGGTGGCGCAGTCTCCGCATTAGCTGGGCCTCTCGCAGGAGGTTCTTACGGACGTACTCCTCCCGGATTTTGTCTGTTTCGATGATCTTTATGGCAACCTGCATTCAGAGTAGAACAGAGAGAGAGAATAAGGAATAAGGGAAAGAGGTGGCATAGTTCTCAAAGTGTGGGAAGGGAGGGAGAGAGAAGGGAAGAGGGCTGGGGAATATTTAGCTGCATCATCTTGCAATGCACATTATGAGCTACTTTAGCCAGCCAGGCAATTTTGATAAGCCAAGAGCTTCACACAATGTATGCAGATGTGGTATATAGTCAGGCTAAACCTTACACAGGGAGAGATGTATTAATGCACCTTGTGCCCAGGTTCTATCATATAGCTAGTATAGACAGCTCATTATACTAACTATACTAGAGTTCAGCGCTACACAATATCTCTATGGCGTCAATGTACCTTCGACCGTGTGAGAGTGTGAACTGCAGCCTCGACTCGAGCAAAGTTTCCCTTTGCCCAAGTTGGTCCCGGTGATCACGTAGCGGCCGATGCATCTCACGTGTTTGCTGGAGCCCGAGCCGGACCCACTGGCGGAAGACGCCGACGACGCAGCGTGATGCGATCTTCCTCCGTTCAGTCCATTGACAATTGCCTTTTGCATCTTCCTTCTCTTTGTTCTTTCCTCTTGGATCGCTCTGTATCAGGGTCGTATGCAACTTTGGTTTAGTTCTCGCACAACGGAAGACAATGAGCGGATCAAAAAATTCGACAAGATAACAACTTTCACGGCTGCTGTCGCAACTGGTAAGCTACAGGACGGACAGATCCTGCGTGTTCTGGCTTTGCGTGTGCTCTCTACACACGGTACCAGATCCGCCCCCGAAAAGCTACCGAGCGTGCAGAAATCCACGCATGCGCACTTCGCCCAAATTGTGGCGTTCACATATATAATATACACACATATTATACATTTGCGCGTGGTTGCATTACGCAATGAACCCAGGTCTAAGCAGTCTCTTCAGCCTTCTCCATCTCTGATATCAGTCTCTGAATCTTCTGTCCGATCTTTCTCTGCCGCTGAGCCCGCCTCACGTGACCCTTGGTGGGCGGGGCCTGCCTCCCGTCCGCGTAGCACCAGTCCGGGAGATCGGTGAGAGGTCCGTATTCAGTTCCGCTGCGAGCTCTCCCGCAGCCCAGTCTCCACTGCTGACCAGCTGACACTATTGAACCAGAGTGGAATGTTCTCACAGCCGCTAGAGACAGAGTTATTCTTGGAACATTCGCTGCCATCGCCACCGACCAGAAGAAGCATGCGCCAACTACAAAAAACCACGCCCATTTTGATGTAGCAGCCCCGCCCGTTAACTCACTTCTTTGTTAGATGGCGGAGGTTCACGTGATAGGTGAACTAGTTGGCGCCAGTGAGTTCCCGTCGGGCGACCTGTTCTGTAAGTGGAGTGCCAGTCACGGGAGCGGCTGGCGGCTCCTGGAGGGAGCGAGAGAGGGACAGACGCAGACCGACCATCCCCAGGACGGCTCCTTCTCTAAATGGAGCCACCCTATAGGTCTAACCAACACAATAAGCTTGGTTATCAAAAAACCACACCCCTATGTGCTTGCTTCAGCCTAAGTACTTACTAGGCAACCAGCCCTTTCAGTAGCTGGTAGATAATTTTACCTTTTGTTGTGGTTGATCTCTGCAGACCTTCATTTTGGTACCAAAGGCCTACAGGGATGGCCAAAGCTGTCGTTTCAAGTGTTCCACGAAGATTTCTTTGGTCGACATGAACTGTGTAAGTCACCTGATGATCACGTGACTTGTGATGACATCATAACTCTACCTCCAGACGGGTACGGGTTTGTTACAGTTCCCACAACTCCCGGTATCCATGACGTCAGTTGTGTTACCTGGCGACCAGTTGGATCGCATCGTCAGCAGTTTTCCTGTACGTCTCACAACGATTTCCTCCTTTATTGTCTTCCCCTTGTGTGTTTTCTGTGTTCCGTCTTCATATTATGGGTTTTCTTTTCATTGTCAGTGTCTCTCCTACCATCATTAATTTCCCCCCTCTTATTTGGGGTACCCTGCGTTCTTCTATTGTTCTATGTATTCTGTTCAACTCAGTCACTTCTCCTTTCCATTCTTCTTTCATACCACCTCCCTCCCTCCCTCCCTCACCCCAGCATTCTTCCTGGGTGGCAGTCCGGAGCTGACCTCAGACTCTCTAATCCACAGCTGCCATGATCGCCAACACCTCAGAACACAGGCCATGGGAAGAGTCCACCTCAGACTCATGATAATCCTCAGACACCTCTCTCACTTCGGAGTTGAGGTCTCCTGACCATGCCCCTTTCTTGGTCACTTGACTGTTGTCATGGCAACGCACATGTAGCTATCATCAAAAGAAATGGCTTCTATATACACCATTAGCTACCTTTCTCCTTTGTCTCTTTGAAGTCACATATCTATTCTCTTTCTCATGATTGGGTGTGTCAGCATTCTTGTTACGTAACAGGACGTACGCATGCGCACGTTGTTAACAACTTTTTACGGTGGGCAACCGACCCCACACACAGTGCAGTGCAGGGCGCACCAGAGCTGGGGCCGGCC